GTGACATCCGTCATTTTTGGAGCATCAGGTTAGCACCTTTAAAGGGGTTTCTATATTTAGAACTATATTTTATTAGGATCTAGTCATGTTGATTATAAGTCATCTGGCTTAGTTCCCAAATATAGTTCAGAGAATCTTGTTTCGACGGATAACTGATAAAGTTAATTTATGTAATGCCAAATATATTAAAAATGCTCCAAATATAATAAAGTTGATATTATAAGTCCAAATTAAAATATAAAAGTCTCATTTGAATGTCCAAATAATTTTCACAAAAATGTGGAACTTTGATTTAATAATGATATTTTTATCAATATTTGACAAATTGTCTTTTGTTATAATTTAAATGGACTTTATTTTTGTTTAAAAGAAAAATAATTTTTTTATTGGACTTGGGCCGTAAGATGTCAGTCCATTTCTTTTCTTTAAACCCACATATAAATACCCCACATTCTTTGAAAAACTCTCATTTTTTATCCTCATTTTGCAAAAGAAACCTTTCCTCTCCCTAATCTCCTTCTCTCTCTCTAAATCAAACCTCCTAGCCGAGTTCATCTTCAAGCATCTTTAGAAATCTGTCAATATTGAAGAATATCCAAGATTTCAAGAAAAATGTATTATACTAGTTATCTTATCTTTATAAAATAACAAAGATTCTCATTTTTCTACACCTACTTCTCGTTCTTGTAGTTAAAATTTCTGGAGAATTCAAAAGGAGAGATTATACATCAAAGACATGAAAATGTCTTCAAAAGGATGATAATCTATGATCCATGATCTTCGAACTCTAAGAAAGTAGGAGAAAACCACATTGCATGTGGAATTTAATCATGAAAAGATGTATTTTGAAAGCTGACATATTTTGTTAGCACTTGTGTCGACTGTATCTTTCAAAATAAAAGTCCAAATGTTCTGGTTTTTCTTCTAAAACATACTTTGATGAGTTATCTTTCTAATGCAACTGGTCTCACTAAAAAATATTACGTTTTGAGCTTTCAAGTTCTTGATACAAGATTATGGTGCAAAAAGAGCATTGCTGACAGAATCTTGCATGCATCTTAAATCGGTCATATCTTCTTCAAAACTCATTGAAAATGGGTGATTCTTTTTTTAGAAGTTAGCCTTATGTGTTAGCTTTAAAATAAAGTTAAAATCACTGAAAAATGATGAGTTTAGACCCCCCAAATGACCGTCACTCGAAGAGTGTGCAATCTGGCTTGGGGACTGTGTCACTTAAAGTTGTAGGGTATTAATGAGTGCCTTAAACCCATTCAAAATTCTTGATATTTGGGAAAAATCTGTTTAACTCATTATTATGGATGATATAAAAATTTGGACACAAAATGACTTTTGGAAGGTTCCTCTTTACAGTGATTTGTGAGACCAAAAAAAAATTCCAGAGACAGAATCTGCATTCTGTCCAAATATCAGCTTTTTGTGCAAAGGACTTTGATTTTAAAATATATAATTTATGGGCTATTTTTAGAGCAGATAATATAAGTATCAACTTTAATTCATAAAAACTCGTTGGCATTACATAGGATATAATTTGACTTTATCTTTATCGAGACCTGTTAGGTGATCTAATTATTGGTTTTCGGACTGTTTAGGAAGGTTAGGGCGGACGTTT